ATGAAAGAAGGCAGGCTGTAGCATTTGCCGCTCTCCAACCACAGAGGAGAGTCATTGTCATACAATCACTGAGAATATTATGTTGATTGGCAAGAGCTGAGCTTTGTAGAAAGGACGAAATTCCCCACAGCTAATCTACAATGGAATTGTTCAATGTCAGGCAAAGCTTTAATAATATTGTTCTGGGCCGCATTGGATGTAAATACCCCACCCTTCATTTTGTGAGCAATCAAAGGGAAGCTTTATAGACAGGAGAGCAGGGACGGTTATCACATCTGTGCCACAGAGCCCACCGGCAGAGAGGAAGAATCAAAGGAGGTGTTGGCCTTAGAAAGGTTTAGCTCTGTGGCTTATCTCCCATCTTCTCCTCCTGTCCCGTGCATTGTGCATCAGATGCAACACAAAAGCGCACACTTTAAATGGTGCCTTTGACACTGTTGAAAAGTACAGGATTGGCAAATCCAACTGGAGGGAACATATTAAAAAGAAGAAGAAAGAAAATCCCCAATCCTACTAAACCTGGACCATCGGGCCCCACCTTGCTTCCTGTGGCCGTGGGAAACCAGCACTGGGAGCTGCACCCTCGGCCTCGCCCAGAAGCAGAAGCAGTCTCGCAGGTTAGCTAAGAGCCTGCAAGGGGGGAGCTGCCTAGGTCTGTGTTCTCTAGCTGGGTGATCTTGAGCGAGTTACTTAAATTACCTATGCCTCAGTATTTCATCTGCAAAATGGAGGATGCTAGGTACCCCACAAATGTCACCAGCGGGTTGCACTCAACTACTGACCTGGCGGTACAAGAAGCATTGGACTGCTCACTTCAAGGTCAGAGGTCCAAAGGAGATAGTTGAGGCTGTCTGCTCCTGTAAACTCTATACAGGCTCAGAAACCCTATATAGATTTCCTGCGATTCAGAATCAACTCAGTGGCAATTGGTTTGCTTTTCTGTTTGTTTGTTTGTTTGTTTGTCTGTTTTTGAGGGGTGGTGGTGGATTTTGCAACCCTAAGTTTATCAGTTTAAGCACACCCAATGTGCCACAGAGGAACGGCTTGGCAAACAGCCTCCATAAAGAGGAAAGTCAAGGAAACCTTCCAGACCCCCTGAGTGGGGTCATAATGCATGAGAATCAAGTTGATGACTGGGGTTTTCCCCTTTTCTTTTTATGCATGTCTTTCCTAAGAATGTTTTGAAGACTAATGAAAATAAATGTTTAGCCCAGGGCCTAAAACCTACAAGACACTCAACAATGAGTATTACCAAACCAAACACACACACACACACACACACCGGCCATTGAGTCCACTCTAAACTCATGGGACCTCATATGTGTCATGGGATTTCAGGGGCTGATTTTTGGAAAATAGATCCCTGGGCTGTTCTCCCAAGGTGCTTCTGGGGAGGCTTGAACCCCCAGCATTGTGGTTAGCAGTCGAGCACGTTAAGTGCTTACACCACCCAGCAGCCCCATAACCCAAACACACAAAAACCCACTGCCGGGAAGTCAGTTCTCACTCAGTGGCTGGTGCTTTCGAACTGCTGACCTTTCAGCTAGCAGCCCCAATGCCTAACCCACCGTGCCGCCAGGATTCCTACAGAGGCCCCACACGGGAGAGAGAGAAAAAAAAAAAGTCCTCTTTGATTCCTATGAAGGAATGGCAACCCAGGGAGGTAAAGCTTCTGGCTCAAGGTCTCTCAGAGGGAAGCGACCAGGCAGGATTTGAACCAAGGCCTCTGGAAGCTTGCCCTTGTCCTGTCCACAGCACTGCAAAGGGAGGGAGGCGTCTTGGAGATGAGTCACCATCATCCCACCCGGGTGCTTGAGGTGGCTGGGTTGGGCCGGGTGGTCTGCTGAGAAGCAGCTCCCTACGCAAAGAACAGGGAGCGTTTGAGTAACTTTTGTTGATGGGGCGTCCCAGTCATTAATCCAACGGGAAGAAGGCCCAAAGCGGAAGCAGGTTCATTAAAAATTTGACATTAGTAATTTAATTAAATTGGATCTTGGCATCACTTTGCAGAAAGTGAAAGGTTAGTTCTACACCAGTTCTCCGCCCATTCCCCCTGGTGGGCTTCCTCCCCTCCCCTTGGCTTGCTTTCTTCCCCAAATGTTTACCTGACCCACCACCTCCTCCCACCCCAACCCTCACAAACACAGGCACAGTAGCTGCCACCAGGCAGCCAGCAGCAGGGGAGAGTGGGAGGCACCTGCAGGGCAGGTGCAGAGGGATCTGGGGGTAATTCTTCTCCTGGGGTGGCTCACTTGTCAGAGGTAAAGAAGGGGCAGGGAAGGCTCCTTGGTTCTTAAGATAGACTCTTGCTCCCCTCTGTATTTCCAGTGCCCAGAAGAGTAGGCCCGTGAAGGAATTAATCCTCAAATGATTCATTCCCCAAACAAGTGCCAGGCCCAGCCTTAAACTCCCAGGACCCCAGAGCAGGGTGCTGCCAACCACACCCTTCACTGGAAGTGTTTATTCCCACTCCTTCCCCAGATAAGGAACCAAGGGCTCAGAAAGGTCACATGGCTCAAGGTCCACCAGAACAAGGCAGTGACCAAGGACCATGCCTGATTTCAGACACAGACCAGGCTGGTTCCAAAGCCAGCCCTTGCCCTTGGTGCTGAGTGGTCTCCTTGAAGGGAAGGGAAGGAGTAGGCAGGAAGGGCAGGGAAACCTTTGTCAGGGCCCTGAAATCATCACAGCTGGTGGAGATGGTCCTGGAAAGTAGCCGGCAACCAAACTGTGGGACAGGAAAGGCTGCTGCGAGGGCCTGCGGTGCCCTCTAAAGTCCAGGCCTGCCTGTCTCCGTCTCCCCATCTTCAATCTAGGATCCCTGAGCTCTTAGCCTTTCTCCGGCCTCAGGGCCTTTGCACACGCTACTCCTTCTGCCTGGACACTCTTTTTGCCTTTGCTAATACTTACTCATCTCTTAGTGTTCAGCAGGAACTCACCTCCTCCAGGAAGCCACGCCTAACTTCTCAGACTGGGTTAGAAGCCCCGATAATTACCACTCATGGTGACTCCATGAGACAAGAGTGGAACTACCTTATCAAGTTTTCTAGGCTGTAATCTTTATGTAGTCCAGTGACACTGTGGGTTGGGTATTGGGCCAATAACCACAAGGTCAGTGGTTTAAACCCATGAGCTGCTTCCCAGGACAGAGATGAGGCTGCCTGCTCCCGTAAAGACTTCACGGCCAAGCAACTAGATTCCAACTCATAGTGACCGTTGTGGGTTTCCGAAGTTGTACATCTTTATGAGAGTAGAACGCCTTATCTATCTCTCTGGGAGTGGCAAGTGGTTTTGAACTGCAGACCTTGTGGTTAGCAAGCCAACACAGAACCCACTATGCCACGAGGGCTCCCCATAAAGATTCGCAGTCTCAGAAACCCCACGTGGAAGTTTTCCTCTATTCTAGAAGGGCAACCTGGGTCAAAATCAAGGCAACAGCAGTGGGAAATCTTTATGGAAGAGAATCGCCAGGTTGCTTTTCTACATTAGGTGGGTGGGGTTGAACCACCAACCTTTCCATTAGCATATCCCCACATTACACCTAGCCTTCCAGTGAATGGAGCCCTTCCCCACTGAGCGGGTCACACTTTCTATAGGCCAGGCTATATTATCAGTGCTTTCTACTTCATTCAAAATAAAACAATCCCACTGTCCTTGAGCCCATGCCCACTCGTGATGATACTAGGACAGGTTAGAACTGCCCCTTGGGGTTTTTGAAAGTAGAAATCTCTA